CTGGGAATATACGAGCCCTCTTCTATGAATCGGGACCTCTTGGTTTAAAAGTAGCCAAAACTAAAAAATTCGCTCTGTTCTGTTGTGATACGCTCTCCCAAAAACAGCGTGCATATATAGAGATCGCTGAGGCCTGGGTTTAAATACTACTTCATTTGGGGGAGAGACTGCACATACCAAGCAACGCCGACCTTATCCTAGGGGAAATTTTCCACTATGAGGGATCCTCTTGAGATCGACGCCACTTCCCTAACCTAATACGGAGTATGTGATTTTTTTGTATTTTGTTGTAGCTCAGGAAACTGTAAATAGGCCAACGGCACGGTACCAGAAAATCGCTTTATAGTTCTTGGGATCTGATGTTCTTGGAATGTTTCTACATCTCAAATAAGATTCTACGTTTTCTTGTCCGGCTTTAGAAGACAGGTTCACCACAGGTACCTCTTCTTCTGCTTCCTTAATCAGCTCATCACAAGCGTTCCAAGCTCCTGTCTTGGCTTATGATTGTGTAGAAACGTTATCATTATCATCAATATTGCTGTTTGTAACTGAATTGGTAAGTAAAAAAATGGACATTCTTTTCACTCGAGTACTTGTGGATTGTAGAAGTAATGTACGAAATTTATTGCGCGGATCTAATGTTGTTGCCAAAATAAACGACTCTCTTCCTCCATGTACTTAAATCTGTCATTAATTCCAGCAATATCATTTCTTACACAAGTAAAATAGTCGGGTCTGTATCTGTAGCTGTCACTTTCGTCTGCAGACTGCTGATTCTTGGCCTGTTCTTGAACTTGAAGCAAACTGTCAATGAATTGGTATAGCATCGGACAAACAAGCAGATTCTTCACTTACAGATTTGGTACCATCTGGTAAATAAGTCAAATTCGTAAAATTGTTACGATAAATATAGATTTATTCGCCGTCAAAATAAAATGTAAATAGTACAAAATGTACGCCTTCAAAGTAAAACCAGATGCACCCTACGCCACAATTCCTCGCCAACTCTCCATCAATGCCGCCTTCCCATTCCTCGTCTTTAGTCGAGGTGTCGCCCCTCTATCGTCCGTCTTGCGGTTTCTCCCGTAACAAAATATTTAGTTGAAAAATCTACACTTCATTACGTTGGTCTAGTAGAAGAAATCCATGGTGAAGAGTATCGTCAATTTTATGAGGCGCAAGAAGCCTGGTCACGCAATTTCCGCCATTTTGTTCATATATATATATAAATTCTTTTTTAAGTTGGTAACACGCCAAATGTCATTTATTTGAAAGCAGTAGCAGATCAAATGCACAACTAAAAATAATCCCAATTAATAAATTAAAGATGATTAATTTATCAATCAGTTTATAATTAAGTAAGCACTTCACCACAATGATTGTTCAAAATGTCTACCACCATGTTCGTGATACACTTGTAATCGACAGGACATGTTTTCAAATACACGTTTTAACATTGCCGATATAATGTTCCATTATTTCTTTTCCGATGACAGTTTGAAGTTCTTCAAGCGTGTGCAACCGATTTCGAAAAATGTTATATTTTAGTGTGAGAAACAAAAAAAATCTAGTGGGGTTAAATCTGGTAAACGGGGAAGCATCAAGCAATAAACCTTTGCTGATTAAACGATTATCGTAAAACTTTTGTAGGTATTGAAGAGTGGCGTTTGCTATACGGGCTGCTGCACCATGTTGTTAGAAATATCCTTGTTTCAGTTTGCCATCATGAAGTTGATTCAGGAACGTAGTCATTATGGATTCAAAGATTTAAAATTATTTTTCTGAAGTCGCATTTATTTTGATCAATACGTTAAAATGCCCAGCTAAAATAAAAACATAAAAAGTAAAAATAAGTTTAACTTATGCTATATTAGTAGCGTACCAAACACAGGTGAAACATACATGAGTGGACAATGAGAGAACAACGAGCCTACATTTTTAGAATTATTTTATTTAAGAAAAAACAATATACCTACATTAAAATGTTAAAATTTTACCGATAAAGGGAGACAATTTTTTTTCGGACTATCACAGGTAAAAATGTTTGTTTTGAAGCCGATCGTGAGATATACCTATTTAAAAAAACATTAACTACATGATATATACCTGCATAATTATTCTCTGTTACAGATCTTAAACTTATAAGTTGTTAATTTATTTTAAAAAAGTTAAAAGGTACGTATGATAATTATTAAGAAAAAAACTTACTTGATATTAATGTTGAATTTTGGCTTTAATGAGATTATAAATAATATTTAATCCTTTCAGATTAGGATGTAACTTGTCCCTACAAATAAACACACTTTCAAAAAATATAGTTTTTAACTTTACGCACATCTTACCGTTCATAAATATCTAAATGTAAAATATTACAAAAATGTGCGTGAACATCAATTAGCCTTATTTCACCGAAATGTTCATAAAACTTTACAATACCCCGGTTAAATAAGATGCTCTTGTGTTTCGTTTGCTTTGATGATTGGTGGTAACGTACAGATGTGGATTGGCATTTTCACGTGGCGTTTTCTCAAGATACGCACCAACCATTTTAATTTTCGTAGCATGTCTTGCGCGTTGTTACCCTTCAAAACATAATTCGTCCCAATCATTATGATTAGCTGTGCGTTGGTGTCAAATTTCCACTTGGAGTTCGCCGTTTGTCCAAATTTAACTTTGCGAGTTAACTGTTTGATCGTTTGACCTCCAACGCACAGCTCGGCGTAAAGATTGCCACGCTTGGACCTTCGAGGAACTGCCCCGGCACATCGGACCAGCATTCTTCCCAAAATGCTGTCCCCCAAATTACGGACATTCCTCTGAAATTATATATAGTACTAAAATGTTATTATTATACGCAAATATACTTACTGAAGTCTCCATTAAAATTAAAAAAGAAGAAAACTACGTAGGTAGGCACACAAAGCACAACCTAAAATTTGTAAAGAAAAGTAAGTACCTAGGTAAGTAAAGATTCGAAAAATTTATAGTTATTTATAGTTACAAACACACTCAAACGATATAAATAAATAATCGAGTAAATAACTATAACACACAACAAAATAATACATTATAATGGAAGAGGCTAAACTGAACACTATAAGAATATCGACGGCGACAAAGGTAATAAAATTTGCTGTGGCTAGCATAGATAACACGTGCTCACTTACGCATACGCGTTCTGCCCAAACGTATAAAAAAACACTTCTCTGTACACTTCTATAAAAACTGCATTCATTAAAAGAAGGTAGCAGATGGCGCTGTGTTTGAAGATAAGCACACACAGGAAAAATATAAAACGGCACCAAATTATTGTAAAGTAAAAATATCCAGCACTGCCAACAAAAATAAATCTTTGCCATTAACAGCTAATGACACTTCAACAGTTTAGATGGCAACAGAAACTACCAGCTTGCAAAATTCGCCACGCGTTTATGTTTCAGCGTAATACTGACTCGTGTTTTAACCAATCACACTGAAGGTCAAAGCTTCCCTATGCTTTCTACCGCTACCTTCTTAAAATTAATACAGTATAGTGATAAAAAAATCTGCACTCATATTCGCTTTATGGCTGCCATCCCACCTTCTAGGCCCATTGAAAAAATTAAACTGCCAAACTAAAATTTGTTGACTTTCGTTTAAACATTACGAATTTTGCGATCAAACTTAATAAATGGACCGTATTTTTCTGCATGTTTCTAAGTGAGACGTTAATCTTACGCCATTGTACGTTTGACTACGGCCAGTGGTTTGATTTATTAGCCTAACCTAAGCTAAGCTAACTAACTAACCTACATCCAAACACAATCTTTACTCGAACGAGCGGAGAAAACGAAACTAACTTACCAGCGGAAATGACCTAAACAAAACCCCCTAACCGAAGAATGAGCTGAAAAGGAACTATGCTGTTTTTAGGGAAGTATTGTACAGAAAAGTACACCCCTCAACGTAATACGCCATGGTATACGTTAGGGAATACTCCCCAATGGAAGCGGCGCTAAAAAGCACTACTTCCCAGAAAATTGACGTCGATATTTACATCGACGGAACTGCCGCAACGTTCAAATGAACATTCGCGGTTGATATGTGGTATTATTTCGAACGGTTATATTGCGCATGCGCCGATACAGAATGTGTATTTTTTTCAAATGGCGCCATCTATACAACTGTCACGGGAACTGTCATCTGAGCCATTACAATTTTTTGTAAAAAAGACCTTTTTAAAGGAAATTTTAACATATTTGTTATGAAAATCACATCGTAAACAAACCTACATTTGTACATTTCGAGTAATTGACTTTATGTCGATCAAAAATTCATACCGATGTGCATGTTGCCACGTGGCATAAGACATTTACGATAGAAATGGTATGAAAATGTATTATTGATGTAACAAATTAAGGTAAAACCGGGTGAGATGCCGCACGTTTCTTCTCAGCCCGAAAAATGGACACAAGTTGAAAAAAAGATCTAACCTCCAGCTTACTCGTTGGTCGTTACTTCACCATATATCTCACATTGATAATGTTGTCTGAAAGAGTTTTTTATATATAATCGGAAAACTAAAGAAACTGCATTTGGCCATCTCACCCACCTGGGTGGGTAAGATGCCGCACTAGGGCAGGGAGAGATGGCTTATGGATATTAACATACAAAACGGTCAACGTGTAGATTTTTACTGCAATAAAAGGCACTTACAATTTATTTGGCATTTTTAATAGTTTGTTTTTTCAATTCTGCACGGCCACACATGTTACATCTTGTTTCATACAATGTGCAGGTTTCATGCATCCATCTAGAACAGTTGATGCACTCAATCCAATCGACGTTGGATGTTGTTGTGTTGTAATTTTCGTAGCACTCCTCGCACATATTACTGTCGTGTACCGACTCGTCTTCACTTGAACTTAGAACAGGCTCATCCTCAGACTCAGATGAAGAACTATCGTCTTTTCGAGCACATCTTTTTTTCTTTCCATGACCTGTTATATTTGCATTCTTCTTCATTTATTCTCTTCAGCTGTTTCCCCTTTAGTGAGTTTCTTTTCTTCAGTTTTTTTCTTTCTCTCAACAAGAGCCAGTCGTTTCTTAGTTTTGTCAGCCATTACTTCTGGCGAGGTTAACACCTGAGCTGACTGCTTTCTTGAAGATGGTTTTTTTGAAACGGGCGTGGGAATTGGGGAAACCTCGAGAAGGAGTTTTGTTGGAGTTGGCTTCCCCCGACACGGCAACCTATCTTCTATGGGGCTATCTTTTATAGGTGTCACGATGATTGTAGTGACTTCTTTAGAGGTCGATGGTGCAGTCGAAGGGTCAGAACTGGTTGACGGGAGTGGACCTTCATCATCATAATTTGATTCCTGGTCAGATGGTGGGGAATCATAGTCTGTCGTTGCAAGAAATGCGTCGTCGGCAATAGCGGTAGGTTTAAAAGGGTAGACTCCACACGCCCTGAATCCGGAAACACCTAGACGCACAGTTGCAGATTTAGACCAAGCTTGTCCAAGCAGTTCCCCGAAATGACGCCTCTCCAGTTTCTTTCCAGGATTAGCGTTTCCCCACTCGCCTGCTGCGTGCCTGTAGTGGGCCTTTAAAGGCTTAAAAAATGATCGGTCAAGTGGTTGTAAATATTGCGTGGTGTGGCTTGGTAGGCATAATAGTACAACATCATTACTGGAAGCACATTCCAAAATATCGGGCGAGTTCGTGTGCGAGCCATGACCATCTAGAAGTAATAAACACTTTCCCGCTGGTTTTCGTGGTAAGAAGTGATCTCGAAACCACTTCATGAAGATGTTTTCGTCAATGTAGGCTGATTCTTTTCTCATTTCGATAGCCGCTCCGGAAGGCATTGATTCTTGCCAAACTTGTTGCTTTTTTACTCCTTTAAAAATACAGAAAGGAGGCAGGAAGGTACCCTCGGCATTCGCGCAGGCGACCACTGTCACCGTCTCTCCCCTTTCCGTTGATTGCCTGACGTGCACATCGGTGCCTTTTTTAGCCACAACAATGCCGGGTTCATTATTTAGTTGCAAGCCCGATTCGTCTACGTTCCAGATGCTACCAGGTTTGTTGATGAGATCGTGTTCAGTTAACGTTTTAAGCAAGAGCTCGAAGTATTCATTGCATTCCTTCTTGTTCATGCCTTCAGCTCGAGCATTGGATAATCCTTGAGCTTTGCGTATCGAAAGGCTGTTATTCCTTCTCATAAAAGATTTCAACCAATCCGCACCAGCAATTCCTTTTGCTTTATTAAAGTTGTGTTTTACACCCATTGCCTCAGCAAGGTTAAATGCGATTTTTCTTACAGCTCTTCTTGTAGGTGCAAATCCACGGGTTTGTAACGCATTAATGTGTTGCACCAACTTCCGCTCAGCATCATAACCAAGCATTGGAGCAGGACCCATTGCTTGCTTTACAAAATTGTTTTTTGACATCCTGTTTCTTAATGTTTTTTCGGGAACACCGGTCGACTTTGCAGCTGATCGGATACTGACATTTTGGTTCTGTATAAGATTTATGGCAGCATCCAAATTAGCTTGACTCCATGAACCTCTATTCGACACCCTTTTATAATTTGTTGGCATTTTCTGCAGACAAAACACACTATATCATTAAGTATTGGTGATTAAAACTGTATATTAAATTGATAAATTGATTTGATTATCTATTTTTTAGCTGCTGCTGCTTATTGTAATAATTATATATTGGTATTAACCTAACACACTTCTCATTTATTCAAAAAAGGTATGCGGCATCTCTCCCAAAATAATGGGAGAGATGCCGCACGCCATTTTTGTATCGCGCAATTGCTTATCAACCTCCTAACTTCACGAAGTTGTTCTAGAAGACCAGAACTAGATACATAATTACCTTGCAGCCATCTATTTTTTACATTTATGTAGTTGTAGATCGTTATGTGTAAGTCAAGAAAATGATTAGATACTTACAATAAAGTAAAATGATATTTTCCAATACACTGAACACAGTAACTAAATGTACTCCCTTGCACAACATACAGTGTCAACAGTGACAAAGTACTGTAGGTGTATTTCGTTGATGGCGCTTTTAGTTTTGTCTAGAGGGGGGGTGCGGCATCTCACCCGCCGCGGCATCTCACCCGGTTTTACCTTATTACTTCTTCAAGAAGAAGTCCTATAGAAGGTTATTCATCAGTTTATATTCCGGTTACAGCAAAAATGTTAGTTTTAGTTCGTTATCTTCCACTTTTATTTCTACATGTCCGCATAATCCACTAGTATTCATTCGAGAAGATAAAACGGTTGTATGACGTGCACAACCGTTTTATCTGCTCGAATTTACATTACGTGCACACAGCCGTTCGTTACACACTAGTATTAAAACGACCAAACTCCAAACAGCGAACTACGTTATCGTTATAAAAAGGTATAAAAAGCTTGTACTTCAAATATACTTATTACCATTACAGGACACGATACTGTAATACATAGCACCTTAAGTTATCCAATACTTGCTTGAGAATGAAGTCCATTTATAAAGAATCTCCAATGCAAAGGCATGTGAATTACTACCTACGAAACTATAGGTTCCAACAAAATTGTAAAAACTTCTTTGTCTTAAAATTTTTATGCCAAGTATACAGTATAGGTACCTACCTGTACATATTATAAGGATTGTGTTAGAAATCATGTGAACAATTTTAAAAATCATCATATTTCCATGTCTTAATACATTCATAAACAACAAATAAGCAATACTACACAAACTCCTCACAACCACTCAAAATGATCCATTATTTTCATGGATTTCTATTATAGCATGTAGACTCTGTACGTGGAGACATTGTAAAGAAAATTCTCCCGATGAGGAAGAACTTGTTCTGCAGGAGGCTAAAACAACCCCGAGTGTAATAAGTACTTTGGATGTGTTGTTAACTAAAACAATGTATTTTTAACATGCACATACAATCCACTTTAACGAAAATACGCCTTTTCGCGACTAAAAATGCTTACGACGCGTGCGGAACGAAATTTTATAAAGTTTAAGACCTCTCGCGCCTTATTTTCCTCAAAATCCTGTCGTTAAGGGTTTTTTGCGATTTTGAGGGTGGAGTATAATGAGCGGGAGACCTTGAAGTGAATACTGACATTATTTTGAACAAGTATATCGGGCCGAAAATAATGTCAGCGAATCAGTATTTTGTTATAGAACTACGTTTTCGCAAGGATCGCCGTTTTTTAATTAGGTTTAGAGGAAGGACGGGAAAGGCGGGGCGCGTGTTGGGCCGTAGGTAAACGTTGTTTGCCGCCGCGAACGGGGAGAGGCGGGTCTACGGGAGAGCCCTAGCTATGCCGAACTCGTCTTCGGCTCGTTCGGCATTGGTATAGGAAAAATGCGAGCTGTTTTCGTTGTGAGAAGGGCGAGCTCGAGCTCATTAAGAATTTTTGTTTGAATTTGTATTTCAAAAAGTCTTAAAAAAATTCTTAAACGTACAAATAACGTAATGTACAACGCTGCTTGGTGTCATACTCTGTTTAGCTTCATGAAGAATTTTTGTATGAGTGTGTATTACAAAAGAAATTAAAATATAATCGACGTTGAGGAGCGAGTTTACAGGAGCCCTTCGGCTCGCTCGGCATTGGTGTGAAAAAAGTGTAGTGTGTGTTTGGCCAGTGGTAAATGTCGTTTGCCACCGTGGACGTAGAGAGACGAATCTAAGGGAGAGCCCTAGCTATGCCGAACTCGCCTTCGGGTCGCTCGGCATTGGTATATGAGGCGCGTGTGTTATGAATCGAAAGTCTTCGGTTATTTTACTTGGTTGGGGAAAGGGTTATTATGAATTTTTTCGTATTTCAAAAAAGTTTAAAAAAATTTCTTAAATCTACAAATAACTTAATACCTCAAGCTATGGGAGAGCCAAAGTAATGCCGAACTCTCCTTGGGTTCGTTCGGCATTTATGTGAAAGACAGTGTAATGTGTAATTGGCCATCGTGGATGTAGAGAGACGAGTTTAAGGGAGAACCATAGTTATATATAGCAGACGCGTGTGTTAAGAATCGAAAGTCCTAGGTCATTTAAATTAGTTAGGAGAAGGGTAATTAAAAAGTATTGTTTGAGTTTTTATTTCGAAAAAAGTTAAAAAAAAATATCTGAAATCTGCAAATAACCTAGTTCTAAAGCTGTTTGGTATGGAACTCTGTTTAGCTTCATTGAATTTGTATTTCAAAACAGTTTTAAAAAAATTTCTTAAATCTACAAACAAACTAATATCCAAAGCTGCTTGGTGCCACATTCGGTTGAGCTTCATTTATAATTTTTGTTTGATTTGTCTTTTAAAACAGTTTAAAAAAAATTCTAAAACCTACAAATAACTTAATGTCCGAAGCTGCTTGGTGTTACATACCGTTTAGCCTCATAAAGATTTTTTGTGCGAGTGTGTATTACAAAGATAATAATCGGCGTAGTGGAGAGAGTCGACGGGAGAGTCATAGGTATGCCGAACTCGCCTTCGGCTCGCTTGGCCTTGGTATACGTTTTACATTTTCTGACGGGAACCGTATATTCTGGTCCCGTTTAATTTTTATGTTATTTAAAAAAAAATTAAAAAGTAAATATTACTTTGGTATTTAAAAGGTGCAAGCTGTTTTTTTGTTTTTTTTTGGTATGGGTGTGGGGAAATCCTCACGATAGCGAGAAGAAGTCATTTGTAATCGCATCTCGATCTATTACGTTAAATTTTGTGATGCAATAATAGAAAAAAGAAAACAAATTCAGTCAAATGTATCATCTTCGTACGCTATACCAAGACGCCGTTCGCAACGTAAAGGCCGTTACGGTCCGGTGTGTGAGACTCTTGCTCACTACAACCCCCTCTCAGTGGAATGATAGCTGAAACAAATTATGTATTATATTGTACAAAGGAACTAAAAAAAAGCAATACTTACACATATATATTTACACTCATTAGCATTATGACATATCGCGTTAACAATAATTATTTTGCACGCGAACGACTTAAAATACAAAACGAAAAAAAGGGAACGGGAAGCAAACAACGTTATGTGAAGCCCAACTGATTGCTAACCGACACGCGACTTTGGGCGTACCTCTTGCAACAAAGTCCGCCCTAATGTTTCTTACCTAACCGCTATGTACGATCCACACATGCCCGGAATGCTGCCCGTAGGTGCCATCACTTGTCAGCATCGGAGACGCGTACGCGACTTTATGCCGGTCAACAACAAAGTCCAATCTTCTTACCTATAACGTGCTAGGTGCGATCCGTTTCTGCAGCCCAGCATAACAGATTCGCACGCAACTTTGTTCAAATCTAGCCCTAACGACGTGCACGATTTACAAAAATCGAAGCGCATTGCACTGTTGTCGCGAATCGTGCACCGTACGCGCAAGCTACCTAACCTACGGATTATGCACGAACCGGAGACTAACCGAACTATCCCCTCAAATAAATATGAAAAAAAAATGAAATTTTGAAATTAAGGTGAAGGATCGGACTCGCTTAAGGAAATAGAAAACCTTCTCCATGGAGACCAATCATTCCGCCATAATTCTCTACGTTATATTCCGCTATCGGCAAAGGCGGATCGTTTAAAATACAAACTAAATTTTCAAAATGGCCATTACTGTGCTGAACGCACATGGGCCGCTTTTCTATTAAGTCGCTCGGACCAGAGTAGTATTTAAAACCATTTCTGGTGCGAGCTTCATAAACAAAAATTGGCCGGCCAATTGCGACGGCCGTGGCATATTCCATGACTGCATCGACCCATATGTCTTGTGCAGTACGAATAATGTCGCGATAGGGATAATTAGGTGACTCGTATCTTTTATTCGACGTCGCCGTCGATAAGATGACGTATAACAAACGATTATTGTTATCGATCGCCCTTTCAGAGTAGGTCTTAAAATAATCATAGTTAGATGGCGATTGCAACATCGCCATCAAAGTTGAAAATCTGATTACGTCGCGATAGCTGTCGTTCCCTGCTAACAAATTTGTCTGGCATGCAGATACCATTTTGGCATACATTTTGAAGCCTAGAAGGTTTATGGGTCTCATTCTGACTTCTGTTGAGGCCTTTTGGAAAGCATTCCCGAGTTCTGTGCGAGTGTACCACCTTCCTACGTTGGTGATTTGCGAAAGAATGCTGAAGTCTTCACAGAAAGTAGCGAATATGCTGTGAAATGCCATCTGCGCAGCCGTACTACAGGTATGCATTTTCCATTCCTTTCGACATGAAGTACAGGTACAGTCACCGTCGCTTTGGATCATAACGGGAACGTCTCTCGTCTTGACCGCTTCGGGTACTGTCGGTACGTGATCATTATTTTGTCGCCGGAGTTCAAACCGTCGCAAAGAGATCTCCCGTTAACGTCAGCCATAACGCGTGCAATGAGATCGGC